TACGCAAATATCCATACATATTTGGAATCTTCAACACACTGATCAACGGGTCGTTATCGCTCTACGAAACCACAATCAAACAAAATAGAAAATTTCAATACCACTAAAAATGGGAATAATTAATACCTGTCATCTACATCCCGATGTAAATGGCCATATCTTTAAACTACTGAATAATATATGGGAGCTCTACGATCAGCAAGACCTCATAGATGTAACGTTTAAATTGTCTAACCCCACTGCTATGTAAGTTTACCACTGATTTATTTATGCATTTAACAATTTCATATAATATTTTATTACAATTCTCACAGGGTTCCAGCACATCGCTTAATATTATCAGCGGCAAGTCCATATTTTAAAGATTTATTCAAAAGCGACAAGGGCTTAACTCCTGTTATTGAATTAAATAACGTAGCCAGTGACACCTTTGAGCGTTTATTAACATTTTGCTACACCGGCAAGACGCTCATAACCATCGACAATGTGGATGCAACGCTGAAGGCAGCTATTGTTTTGAAGTNGACTATACACTGCAGCGGGCATATAGCTTAGAGCGTGAAACTCAGTGTGTACCACTGTATGAGAAACTCTTGGAATATGATATAAATAATTTCATGGAGGTGAGTCTTATCGCTTTACCTCAATGTACTATCATTCCACCAGCTTAATAATAATATTTTGACGCTTACACTTTTGCTAAGTGTTTGGCCGAGCTTCCCCAATTTGTGGTGTGTGTCCTGATGTTATAAGACTAATGGAGAAACCTACAATTTTACGAAGCTTCCGAACGGCGAATAGTTTTCAAGAGAAGCCTTTTCAAGACAGAAACACTGAGGCCCAGAGTTTACCGGTTAAACTGATAAGTTTGTTTGCACAACAGTAGGTTAGGCCTTAATTCAGAGATAAAAACTCAAATAATTAACCCAGAAAATTTTGAGAGTTAAATGGTTAAGTTAATGGAAATTAAATTTTTGTAATTGTGAGATATTTTGACTCAAAACGCTGTTAGAATGCTGAAAAAGGTTGATACTTAGTCTTAATTTATTCAGATTATACATATTACTACCCTGCAAGAACACTACTAGTTAAATCACAATATCTCACAGATATATTAGGTAGTTCGTTTATAGAAACAGCCTCTACAGACGAGTTTCTATTAGCTTCTTAATACTGATTGGGGAAAAACTACCAGAAACTCTTGTGCGCGTGAGAGTTTGTATCCCTTT